GCTGTGCTGAACTGTGAACTTCATGGCAGCATCAGAACATTTCCAAAATAGCTGAGCTGTAAGCAACTACAAAGCAGTAAATGTTTTCTGTTCCTGCCGAATCGTATAAATAGGCACAAAGATTAAATGTAGAAGCTAAGGTCAGTTTTGTAAGTTGTGAGATACAAGTGTCTAACCGGATTGGGGAGAGTGGAAGTAAAACTCACTGCATTCTGTACTCGAGCAGTTCATACTCGTACAGACGCAGGTGAACATCAGTTAATTGGAAATTATTTGATAAGTTGGTCTTACCTTATTTTTAGAGTTACTCAGCATTTTGGGTCGCGCCATAGCTCAAGCGGTTAGTCGCTGGCTTCCCACCGCGACGGCCCGGGTTTGATCCTGGGTCTGGTCAAGTGGGATTTGTGGTGGACAAAGTGGCGCTGGGGTAAGTTTTCTCTCAGTACTTCGGTTTCCCCTGCCAATCTTCATTCCACCAATTGCTCCATAATCACCCTCACCTATCATCTGGGGCTGGTACAATAGGCCAGAAGTGGCCGCAGTATAAGGGACTTTGACCCACCCCACTAGCAGTAAACAACTCAGCATTTTCCTGTATCAGGTAAAGGTAAAGCTATCCCTGTAACAGGCCTTGAAGGCCCATAGGGTTGTGAGACGTCGAGGTTCCTACATTTTCTTAACAGTCGATTCACAGATGGTGGTAAGGTTGTCAGCCTTACGTGCCGGCCGCCCTTTAATCCCAGTAAGATTCCTGGTACAAATTTCCGTTAAAGGCTGAGTCGATCCATGGCCATAATGCAGCTGGAAGGATTAGGCCAATTGAAAGAATCCAATAACCTCATCGGGAATCAAACCAGGTGTCTCCTGGCTTGTAACATAGTGCGTCAACCAACCACGCTACCGCATGCCCATTTTATTGTATGTAGATTACGAAAATGCTTAACAAGATTAACTGAAATAATGCCCGTGCCCAAGCTATCAGTATCATGACACTTGAATGACAGGCTCAAAGCTTTGCCGTTCGCTGCACTCTTATGCCGCTTTTGCTTAAGTTTAAAATTACTGCACTTTATCTATACATTTCTGTTCGAGTTATATGAAGTTATGTCAAAGTTGAGCTTTCAATTAAAATTTTCTAAGTGTTGTAAATAAAAACTAATACAGTCGTAAAGGCAGAACAAAGTGTTAATATACTCCTACAACCAACTTACTTCATGAAGATGAGTCCTTCTTGAGAAGACACCAGTTGTTCATCAACTCAAGAAATTCGCAACATTTTATATGTAGAACCCGAAGGTTCACTACCGTGTTCACAAGAGCCCTCCACTGGTCCCTATCCTGAGCCACATCAATCCAATCCATATCACCCCATCCTATCTCTAGAAGATCCACATTAATATTAACCACCCACCTACCTCTTGGTCTTCCTAGTGGTCTATTTTCTTCTGGCTTTCCCACCGATATCCTACATGCATTCCTTTTCTCCCCATTTGTGCTAAATTACCTGCCCATTTCATCCTCCTTGACTTGGTAATTCTAATTATACTTTGCGAAGAGTGTAAGTTATGAAGCTCCTCATTATGCAGTTTTCTCCAACCGCTCGTCACTTCACCTCATTTCGATCCAAATATTCTCCTCAACACCCTGTTCTCAAACACCCTCTCCCTTAATGTAAGAGACCAAATTTCACACCCATACAGAACCACAGTCAAAATTATAGTTTTGTATTTTCTAATTTTTACGTTTTCAGACAGCAGGCAAGAAGACTAAAGTTTCTGTACTGAATGGTTGCCAGGAATAACCGAATTCAATCTCCTCTTTATTATCTCTTGAATCAAATTTTGCTTCGTTGCTGTCATTCCCAAATTATGAAATGTGCCACATTTCTGATGTCTAGACAGCAACATGTATTTAAGCTTTCTCTGCATATTGCTAAATGCATTGCACAGATGTCATGGCTGTCTCCCTAGTAACCAACTGAAACATCTCTCCAATTTGTCTCTAATAGACGTACTTCTGGGGCTTCCTTGCCTTCAGATAAATAATAGCAGTTCTATGCTACGAAGAACGTATGCAATATATGAACTCACTTGATCTATATTGGCACTGGGAACTTCTAATCGATATTGTGGTTCACTGATAACCGTAGACATTCCCATATCTGCCAGTTTAGTGCTCTGTACAGGTTGGTGAGTGTATATGTGAACTGAATTGTTTCCACAGTTCCACGCGACGTGTCACACTAGTGTCATTCGGATATCGATTTAAGAGACCAACAGTGTCTGCAAGAAGACCTCTGACCGTTTCATAAGCTTCCGGGTTTTGTCAGGCGCCACTTCATCTAGCTGACGTCCCAGTAAAACTAAACAGAACCGACGGCGTCACACTAACAGTAGCTGTCCTGTGTTTGGAGGACACCAGTATCACCACATCCCTTTACAATTATGATAATATAGAGACACGATGTCATATGCTCTTCTGGCAAGAAATCTGCGCCCCTTGAATACATCCCACATTCCTTTATCCTGTAAAGTGAAGTAAAGTAAAGGTATCCTTGTAACAGGCCTTGGAGCCCCGTAGGGTTGTAAGATGTTGAGATTCCCACATTTTCTAGACAATCGGCTCTTAGATGGCGGCAAGGTTGTCAGCCCTACGCGCCGCCCGCCCTTTGCCCCCAAGAATATTCCTGGTACTCATTTCTGTTAGAGGCTGAGTCGACTCCAGGGCCATAGTACGGCTGAAAGGATTAGGTCAATTGAAAAAATCCAGTTACCTCATCAGGAATTGAACCCGCCACCTTCTGGCTTGAAGCATAGTGCCTCAACCAACTACGCTACCGCGTGGCCCCCTTTATTCTGTTTTTTAATTAATTTTGTTACTAACATACCAGCTACATCTATACTCCTTTCCTTCAGATATTCAGATCAAATTTGTGTCTGAATTTCTTGGCATTCTTATGCTGCTGTATGTCTCGCCCATCTCATCCCTCATGCTTTGATCACCTTAAGAATAAATGGGCCTATAGCTCAGTGTGTGTAGCAGTAAGCTACGAGTCGGACAGCCGGGTTTCAGTGTTCAGACCGGTGCTGGTGGCTACCCAGTCTCCTATACAATGGGCACCGGGGCTGTTTCCCCGGTAAAAGCAGCGGGAGCTTGAAACTGACCATTCACCTCCATCTAATTCTGAGTTCAAGAATGATGGATCTATATTTCCACTCCACGATACGCCTTAAAGACGTGGTTGTTAATTAGTAACGCACAAGGGAAACTTTTCTTTGTACTTTTATTTTTTTTCTTGGCACTACAGCCCCAGTGGGCCTAGGTCTACCTCCATGAACTTCTCCGTTCACTTCGGTTTTTCTAGATCTTACGCATTCTGTAGGACTCCTTGGGCGGGTGATCAGCTCGTCGCAAGGCCTCTACCTATATACAAACACAGAAAACCGCACACACACAAACTAAACATCCATGCCCTGAGTGGGAGTCGAACCCACGATCCCGGTTTCCAAGCGAGCGAAGACAGTACATGCCTTAGACCACTCGACTACCGTGACCGGCCTTGTACCTTTATGATGTAACAAATTTGATCAACACGTTGCCAGACAACAGCTATATAAACACGAATACAGGCAACAGTAGAAGGGAAACTGTGTTTTTATGCCGTTCACGCCTAGCAAAAGCACGGATATATAGGAAGACTGTTGCCAGGCACTGCAGCGGTAAATATGCAACAACAATGGGAGACGGTATTTTCCGTGGGTTCGTGCAAAGGAGTTATCTTGAAAGCAAACAGCGCTACTATGCATTTCTGAGTTCTCGGTAGAAGATAGCCACGGAAATTTCGTTGATCTGTGAAGAACTGGTGTGTGATTAGAAGGCTTCATTCGCGTGTAGTACTTGTAGTGTGAGAGTCAGTGAGACTGCTGTAGTTCCTGCGTTTTAGCTGTGGTGCCAGGAGAGGACCAGTGTGTGTGTGTAAATCAGCGATAGCGCTGTCCTTAATGTGATTAAGAGAACTTGTAACCAAGGTGCTAATAAACCCGATCATCCGAACTAGAACCCGTCAATGTCTTCACGCGTACCACCCTACACGTGACAATATTGTATACATTTAACATTAATCAGTAAGAAATATACATGTTTGGTGACTTCCTTGGAAAAAGTTGTAATTAAACAGTTTAGAATAGGACATTATATTGAAGGAGGAATTTATTCCGTGGTTATTTGTTGGGTTAATGCTCAGACTCAGGAATGGGCTTGTCTTTAAGATATCCAGAGCAGTGATAACTCTACCCCAATTCAACGTTATTCAGTAGCACGCACTATTTTATCCGCAAAATAATGTATTAATTCGAAAGTAGTACTAGTGGTGTCTCTTCCTTAACTTCTACCTCCTCTCATAAATAAAACTGAGATCGGAACACGTCTGGTGATCTTAGAGTTGTGTAAGTTATAATTCGTCTTAATAATTCAGGATAACGGCTTAGAGCTCTCGACCAATTCTACGCCTTCAATAAAATGGCAAAAGTGATTTCGGTTTATAATATAGAATATACAAACTATTTGACTTTGTTAATTACTAAAAAATTGTAAAAACAACAACGTTTCTTAACACAAGCTAACAAATATAAAGTGGAACCCACGTTCACTAGTGAAAATGCTGCGATGTTTTCTGTTCTGTTTTAAGAAACATCAATGTTGCATAGGGATAGCACTCTGCCATTCATGAATATAACTTTCAAGTAGCGTGACAGTTGCAATGCAGAGTGTGAGGGTGGCGGGCTGAGGACTGGACTTCACAAGTTGACAACATTAGGATTGGCAGAAATCATGTACGATGCTCTTCTTAAGCGAAACGTTTTATTGTTGAATATTATTTACGAGCAAATACTGGTCCATTTAAAGACAAAAATAAATTTATATAGAAAATTTCAAATTATTTCCTTCCATCGATTGCTATAATTCATTAAAATATATATCGATTTTGTATGGGGAGCCAGGATAGCGCAGTAGGTATAGCGACTGACTACGGACTGGACAGCCGAGGGGTCACAGAGTTCGTATCCCGGTATGAACAATAATTTTCTCTTCTCAACGTCACCCAGACCGCCTCTGTGACCCATCCAGCCTCCTAGACAATGGTTATCGTGGGCTTTTACCTTGGGGGTAAAGCGGCCGGGGCTTGAGCTCACCACTCACGTTCAACTAGTGCCGAGGTCAAGAAAATGTTGAATTATACATAAACTCCCCCCAAATGTCTTCATGATGTTGTGCTTAATTAGTTAGGCACAGAAACAGCTTTGCCTTTTTTACATATTTTATGAATCCTGGTCTGTTATCTCTCTCAAAATGTTCATCACATATTATAAGAAAAATAAATTTAATTATGAAAGTCGGCATTTAAAGTTAAGATGGGTTACGTCTTATTTCTGTCACTCTCCTTTTTTAATTAGGAAAAGTTGTTGAAATTCATATTTATTTGAAACAGGTAACAAGTGCTTGTCTTTGTATTTAGAAGATTCAAAGATCGTACATTCATGGAAGTATTTACTTCATAGAATAGCCTACACTGTTGCAGCAGTGTTACGGAACACAGTAATATAACACATTGCTGAATTAGCGACGACCCCAGCGTAGGGGCTGACCAATTGGCCGCAGGGTCCCTCGAGTTTCCGCAGACACAAAGTCCAGTTCCGGTATCATGGAGACGAGTGGGGCGCGTGGTGGGTAACGCCCCACCAGGTTGGTGAACCCCACACTGAATGGCTTCCAGCGGGACAAGACAGACAGAGCCCGCTTGCTGTTACCTGCAACACACACACAAAACCATCGCAACTGAAGAAATCAAACAGAATTTTAGAACACTTAACCACCTTCACATATATTTTGATGATGTAACATCCTACACGTAAGTAAATCGATATACTGAATAGGTTTCGAGCTGGCAAAAGGTAAAGTTGTCTCTGTGATTAATTAACTAAGCACTATGCCTTGAAGACATATGGGGGAGTGGAGGTATAGCTCCAACTTTCTTGACCATGGCGCTAGATGGAGGTGAGTGGTCAGTTTCACGCCCCTGCCGCTTTACTCCCGGGTGAAAAGCCACCGGAACACATTGGTTAGGAGACTGGGCGGACCCCAGAGTCGGTCTGGACTCTACGGAGAACTTCGAGCTGAGCAACCGAGAAATCTGATTTCGATTTACGGTAGGGGCAAGAAGTTTCTTTCTTCTTCACTGCGTCCATATTGGCTCTGGGATCCACTCAGCCTCCTATCTAATTAGCATAACGATTTTATCCCCGGAATAAAGCGATCAGGGCGTGTAGCTGACTACTCACCTCCATCTGGTACCGAGGTTAAGACTACATGGAGCTGTACCTCCACTCCTCATACGTCTTCATGACGTGGTGTTTAATTACGCAAAGGGACAATTTTACCTTCATCTGTATCGTAATTGTATTTATGTCCTTCTGAAGTTAGTCTATAAGACCGAAAATATCAAGGATAAAAGATCTTTTTTCTTGGCACTACAGCCCCAGTGGGCCTAGGCCTACCTCCATGAACTCCGTTCGCTCGGTTTTTCTAGATCTTACACATACGGTAGAACTCCTTGGGCAAGTGATCAGGTCGTCGCAAGGCCTCTACCTGTAGACAAACACAGAAAAACGCACACAAACATCCATGCCCTGAGTGGGATTCGAACCCACGATCCCGGCTTCCGGGCGAGCGAAGACAGTACATGCCTTAGACCGCTCGGGTACCGTGACCGGCGGATAAAAGACTAGAAAGAAAAAAAAATGATCAGACACACTGGACGGCGTTAATTAAACTCTTTAATCATCTGTAGCATTTAATATTGTCACAACTCGGTTCTTAAAGCCTCATTTCTGAAAGCGAGACATGGTAATTTGAATTTGTTCACTTCAGAAACTGTTCTGAATTGTGTCATTCCCAGTGTGGACATTTGATATAACCCGTCTTCGTTCCAGGACACTTGAAGATATTGAGAGCTTTGGCATTCTGTCAGTTGTTTTGGTAATGTGGAACTTAGTCTTTAGCTTTGTGGGAGAAAACAATTTGTGAGTTATCAGGTAAAAATCTGGACTTAACAACGATGAAACCTTACAAATTAGCCCAAGTGGTAGCCCTCCTAACGTGTATTCAGGAGGTTCCCGGTTCGCATCTTAGCTGGAACCTATCCTGACTGAGGTTTCTCGTGGTTTTCTTCTTTCCTTTCAAGGAGTACCGAGATTGTACTCCATATTATGCCACGATCACTTCCTCCCATATATTATCAGTTCACTGTCATTCTACCTGACCGCCTCTCTGGTCTAGTGGTCAGAATTGCTGCCTAAAAATCCAGATATCCCGGGTTTGATCCCGGCGCTACCAGATTTTATGAGATATAGTGGGTCTATAAAACCGAAATTAACGGCCGTGTGGATCCGTTGCGCTGACCAAGTGACACCCTCTATCCGCAAAATTGGCACTAACTTCGCCGACAAGCGGCGGTCGCTCGGTCGGCATAGTTAGCATGCGAACTACAGGTCGCGGAGTTTGTAAATCTACCATTCGACTCTGTATAGTCTGCTGTACTGATAGCGTCGTTAAATAAGCCATAAATTATAAACACGAAGGATGAAGTGAGTTAATTAAGAATTAATCACATAACGATTTATGCAGAGATCTAGTATTGTCAGCATCATGAAATCTATGAGAATATTGCTAACTGGGAATGTGACTTGAATGGGGGTGAGACGAAGAATGAATACAGAATTTTGATCATGAAACCTCTTAGAAAACTACCACTCGAAAGACCAAAAAATGAACATGAAGATAGCACTATGATGCATTTTAGGAAGATGGAAGTGTATGGAACTGTTTCAGAATCGTCTCCAACAGTGGATGTTGGTATTGGCGGTTTAGAAACTTCGTGTCCTGTAACCAGAAAGGTAGAAGAATATCTGCTTTTCCAGTTGTTAAGTAATTTGGCACACATACATTTGCGCCCGCATATCCCTCTCAACCCAGCGTATTAATTGCAGCTTTACGATTCAACTAGCCAGGGAATGCCGCTTTCAATGAGGGCGCCAGTAAATGTTCACTCATCCACGTACCTACGTAGGTTTCAGTGGGCCGCAGGGAAACCAAAGGAAAGTCTGTAGTCTGTCTAATCTTTTCAGTTTACTTGTTCGGGCAACAGGGAAAGAATTCGGAATTTTGCCACTGGCACTCTTTGATCAGACGAAACATGACATTGAAATGACGTGCAAATTAAGTTCTGAGAATCCACTGTGTGTCTTCTGCTAAGTGTCTCTTATAGCTAACAGATTCAGATCACTGAAACGTTGTTCTTAAGTCCTACTTCCTGTATAATGGTGTGACGTGGATGGCGCAACAGGAAGTAGGGGTCACGTGAACTCTGCGTTTCCACGAGTGACGTCACGTACCCCTACTCCTTCCATAATTACGCAACGCTCGGTAAACACCCCTCCCCGCGAGGCTGTGACGTCACGCAACAGGTGAGTCCGTGCAACGACTATTTCTAGGCAGTGCGTAGGTAGAAACACCTGACAAAAATACCTGATATCTGTTGCCGAGCAGCAAAGTGTTCCCTATGTTGTCCGTGCCGAGTCTAAATAAGGAGCAGCGAACACTATTCAGTAGTAGTGAGGATTGAGCTAGTATCCAGTATGAATTGAAGTCCAACAGCTACGAGTTGAGTTGTATCGAGTGCATGGCAGTGACTCCAGCAGGAGAAGTAATTGTGATACTGCAGATGGCAGTAATTGTGAAACTGTGAATTGTGTAAATGTAAGAGCGAGTATTCAATAAATTCGCTACATTCAAGACGGCGTGAAGTTATTTGTCGGGTCACATATACCCAACAAGTGACAATATTATGTATACTAAGACGATGCAGTGCGTAACATTACTGATACCTCATTTTCCTCAGTCATCTCATATGTTCGAGATTTGCATTAAAATAAGCCTTGGACTCTTTTTTCTGCAGTGAATTCCTATTTAATCTATCTATTATTTCCTGTCTCAATTAACTCCATACAGTAGAACCCTTCCTGAGAAGCTGATAATCGCCCATCGGATCAAGAATTTCACCACCTTTTGGAGAACTCGAAAGTTCATTGCAGTGTTCACAAGAGACCTCCAGTAAACCTTATCCTGAACCGTTGAATTCAGTGCACATACAAATCTAGTTAAAATTCCGTTTTATATTGTATACCTATCTTTCAGTTTCCCAGGAGTCTATTTCCTTCGGGGTGTGCTACTAAAATTTTTTATGTTCTTCTCATTCATCCCCTTCCTTGCTACATCTCAATCTCCGCACGTTGATCGTCTTAATGATATTACTCGAATGCTGCAAGCAGTGAAGCTTAAAACGCGATCTTCTCTCTTTTCTTACTTCGTCTGTCTGTGGTGTCCAGGTTTCCTCGCGTTTCATACTCCGTGGTTGTGGTAACGACGGTTATTTGTAATTATATGTGTTGATTAACCAATGCATGAATAAGTAAATAACCGGACCCTTAATTTGAACAAATTGGTCAATATAAAGGAGACTCAATACATCAGAACTCTGAGCCAACAGGCGCCTTATACCTGAGCCTGATTTTATAATTTTATAAGAAATATAGCTGTATGGTATTTTTAGGTTGGTTATTTGACGATGCTGTCCGTATCCAGACTATATAACATAGATTATAAAATGATTAATGAATGTGGACCAGTTTTGGGGATGAGATTGACAGGATAAACCGAAGTAATCGGAGAAAATCCGCTTTGACTGTCACAAATCCAACATGACCTGAACTGGAATCAAACCCAGTCTACTGCGGTGAGACTTATTTTATTATCATTTGTGTATCTGTTCCGCTGAAATCAACTAGCAGATATTTGTGAAATTTGGTATGAACATCGTGCCACTGGAGTCTACTTTATGTTGTATTTTTGGTTTCCACCGTCAATAATACCAACATGGCTGCAATGCCAACTTTTGAGCCTGGGTAGACGCTAAAGCCATTTAAAGATTTTTGAACGGCAAATTTTTTTATGCAGCTTTTCTACAAGTAAATTTTTGTAGGCTGTGAAAAAAAGTATGGCGGTCGAGTAAAGCAGCTTTTCGTAACTAAGAAATTACTGAACTGTTTAAGCTAGACATGTTAAATTCCGTATGAAGACTGACAATACTGACTCGTGTTTTCCTCTGCCTTTACAGACAACTCTGTATGGCCTGCATTTTGCCTTAAAATGTCCACAATTCAATAATCAATTATGTTACCTGGTCCCGGACTTTCAGGGATGTTATACGATGATATCCACTGCGACGAGTCTTGGCGCAACATCGCCGGCAGCTTTCGCCATGTGACGTCATCCAATATTTCGTTTGTAGTTGATGACGAAGGCCGTGACGTCACCAGTACCACGTATCCCAGGATGAAGAGTGGCCACAACATAGCACAACTGCGGCATATGAAGCAATATTACAACGTGACTCTATGAGATTTGTAGATTGGAACGTTTACGTCTCTTCCAGTGCAGAAATATATCCTGAGATCTCCTCATTATGGATATAGGAAGTTTAATTTTGATTCAAATGCGGACCAGATTGAAATTTAAGTCACTCTCACCATTCCAGTAATAGAGAGTTCTATCTTCTAGGATATAACGCCGTCTAACCCGTTGAAAATTAACCGACGTTTCGGAGGAACATGTCTCCTCCTTCCTGCAGCGCCTTGCTCCCTGCTCTGTGCTCTTTGCTTGTTTGGCTTATTATTCGTCCCTGAAGATGAGGACGACATATTCCTCCAAATCGCCGGTTACTTTTAAACGGGCTACATGTACTCATATTCCAGAAGACAGAAATGTTCATAACCACCACTGTGAGAACTTCAAGCATAACTAGAATGCAGAGGCAGTAGTGAAATAAATCCAATTCAGTCAAGAATATTTTGATGAGATAACGGACAAATAAGAAGAAGAACAACAACAACAAAATTCGTTTCAATTCAATTATTCTTTTTTATTTACGTGCTGAGCTCAACAGCCAGTGGCCAATTAACGAGTCATAATTCAATTCAATACTTTATTATTTATGTTCTGAGCCAACGGCCTAAGGCCAATTACAGACACAGCACAGTGTAGATAAAGTAGTCTCATACCTCACAAACACAACATAATAATTCAGTTCGATTCAATTCATGTTTATTTACGTGCAAACTTAACAGCACAGTGGCCAATTACAAATTTAGCATGAGTAAATAGAAATACACAAAAATAATTAAAAAAAAAAGAAATACAAAATATGACAGTCTATACAATGGCAATAAATTAATAATTATTCCAAGAAAAATTAAAGTTAGCGTTAACAGGCGAGAAAAATAAAATAAGTACGAGTACATTTCCAATTGTTATGCCATTTTGTGGCGAGAAAGGATATTACACGTACATACACGCATAGAATTTAATAATAATAATAATAACAACTCGTCAGAGGCCGCGGTTAGCTCAAGCGGTTAGTCGCTGGCTTCCCACCGCGGAGGCCCGGGTTCCATCCCGGTTCTGGTCAAGTTGGATTTGTGCCAATCTTCATTCCACCAAATTCTCCATCATCATAATCACCTAGGGCCGTCTACAATAGGTCAATCAGTGGCCGCCGTGCCGAGTGGACCCAGTTGGACTCCACTCCCCACTAAGCGAACAATAACTCGATTAATTATACTTATGTGTGTGCTAATACAACATCTAATATAATAATAATAATAATAATTCAATTTGTGTTTTTCTACGTGCAAACTTCACAGCACAGAAGCCAATTACAGTGTTAGCACGAGTACAACGAAATACATAAAAATAATTAAAGAACAAAATACGGCACTCTATATAAGGGCAATAAATTAATAATGATTAAAAAATAAAGGTAGCATTGACAGGTGAGGAAAATAAAATAAGTAAATTCCCAATGGTTATGCCATTATGTGGTGAGTAAAACAATATACGTACGTACACACATGTAACATTAAGAGTATTAACAAATATTATTAACAATTTTAGGTTCAACGTGATTGACAGAAGCTGTTCCGATTGCAAATATGTCGAGATCTTTACCCACAGCGTTGGCAGCATAGGCTCACCGAGCAGAAGGACAGTGTTTATTAGAGGGACAAACACCAGACAATGAGAATTCCCTAAGATTGCTGGGAGGAACACAAAGGCTAACATTTTCCAAAAGAGAAGGGCAGCACTTAAGACCACGATAGATAATAATAATAATAATTCAATTCAGTTCACTTCGTTTATTTACGTGCAAACTTAACAGCACAGAGGCCAATTACAAAGCCAGCACGAATAGAGAAATACACAAAACTAATAAAAAAAACAAAATACAAAAATGATAGTCTATATTAATTACACAGTTAGCATGAATAAAGATACAGAAGCAAACATACACAGACAAAGCCACAATGTGAGAATTTGAGTTTCAAATAGCATACAATAATAATAATAATAACAATAATAATAACGAAATTAATAAAATTGATGATGATAATAATAAGAGTTAAATTATGGATTGTGAGATGGTATGATATTTAAAAAACGCGCTTCGTACTAATTATCTACATTCGTCATCCCCTTCGACGTTGTGTAATGTAAGTATTTCAGAAACGTCCGTTAAAGTAAATTAATGAAGAACAAAGTATTATCGCCCAGATATTCATGACGTCTGCAAGCTTGTGCTGCATGAGCTTCGTGAGATAACATGCGGTTTTCTTCTATAATTTAAAATAGATTTACAATGTGTTGACAGGGTAATTCTCAGTACTGTGACGAACTTAACGCCGTCATAAATTTTATATTACTCAATAAAGACTGCTGTTAGAACAGTATATTTCACATAGTAAAATCCTGTATGATCTTCAAATATCTACAGTACATTTATGCTTGCAATCCATATACCTTAAAGCGATCAAATAGCGGAGGATGAAATGGGCGGGTCATATAACACGGATAAACATTATAAATGCGCACAAAATTTTTTTCGGAAAACCTGACGAAAATATGACAATTGGAGACCTGGGCATATATGAAAATCTGATATTGTAATAAGTGTTAAATGAAAAGATCGAATATACGGATTGGATTTAAGATGCGGGCTGTTGTGAACGCGGTAATGAACTGCATTAATTGCACTGACATAACTTAACATGGTAATAAGGGAGTAGGGAAAATGTCTATTTTTTACCTGTTTTATTCTTAAAATAAATTGTAATATAATGAAATTATTTTGTTTTCTACCACAAACTTATAAATATATAGGCCCATCCACATAAAATAGAGAAGTGCCGAAAGAGGAAAAGGACATGATAAGACTATTTTAAATTATAGTTTACGGCTGACACGCCTCATAGTAATTGCTTTATAGTGTTGCCATGCACTGACACTATCAATCCCCCGCCCCGCAAAACAGGCGGAGAATTTCTTGAGCAGATGAGTGACTGTCAGTTTTCCAATAAGAATCCTGAACTTAACTATATCTGGTAGGAAAAGGCGGGGCTAATCCAAATTGTATCCCTCAAAAAGCATTCACTGACTTTCAATATCCAATTTGGATTACCAGGACAGTTCACTCAGTCTGAATGTGTGTGGGAAGAGATATCCAGGGGATTAGCAGAGACGAAATCTGATCATCTAGGTAACGTCAAGCTCCACTGATAGGTACTCCTCGAGGGCTGGGATAACCTTAAGCACATGACACCAGAAGCTTGGAAATGAAGTTCGAAAACAGTCGATCGCGAGATAGAAAACTTTCGGAAGTATAAAAGAGAATAACAGAGAGGCTGACAATATCATAACCTACAATACGCGAAGAATTCGATGATAAAAGAACACGAAGAGAGAAGAGAAGTGGAAATGAATGTAACTTAAAGTGAAACAAAAGCGTACTGACTGAATTAATAAGAAGTAATTCCAATTAACATTGTCATCAGAACCGGAAGGAGCAACACCACTAACACCAAATTCTATTATCGAACTCGATCCTGAGCAGTTGCACCTATTCCCTTTCATAAATTCGCTGAGATCCATCCTAATTTTTTTCTGCCCATTTCTTTCTCTGGTTTTCTAGTGGCAATTTCCAAATATGTCACCACCAAACTTCTGTATATATTCCTTGTTTCCTCGTTCCTAATCATGTGCCCGACCCATTTTTTTTTCCTTCTTTGTGCCTTGGCCTACCTCTCCATTTCACTTCGGTTTACTAGATCTTAGACATTCGGTAGGACTCCTTGGGCGGGTGATCAGCTCGTCGCAAGACCTCTATCTGTACACAAACACAGAAAAACACACTCACACACACACGCACACAAAAACACCCAACATCCATGCCCTGAGTGGGATTCGAACCCACGATCCCGGCCTCTGAGCGAGCGAAAACAGTGCATGCCTTAGACCGTTCTGCTACCGTGACCTGTGTGCCCAATCCACTATCCTAACATAATAAGTGTTCTATTTCAGTTGCGAAATATCTTCTTATGTAACAACCTAAACTGTTGATTTCCTCATTCAACTTATGTCCGTATACGTATTATCTTCAGACCAAGTTCCATCAAAATACTTATATGTTGAGCAGTTTTGGAGACAGAACATCTGGACATGCAGGCACTAGCACTCCCCCTACCCCTCATGCGTCCATGATGTACGTTTTGTGAAAATAACAAATGAAAACTTTAAGAACTTTCCATATATTTAGGCAAACGTTAGAATTCCGTAACATGACGCGTCACATGTGCACCGAGTCTCGAATAGCGACTCTGCGAATGAATATACGGTATTTTATAATTCCGTGTAAATTTATAAATAATTTTTAAATTTTAAGTTTAAGACCAATGACGAAGCGTACAAGTTTATTGGTCAATATTAACGTATTGGAGAGTCAACAGCAATTCCTATGGACTGTATTTACTACAGCCTTACGAAATACTTTTCATGTCAAAATATATATCTATAACAGTTCTTTCTCTGGCATATAATACCGTGTAGACAGTTGAAAGTCAATTGAAATTTTGTATAAATAAGTAGACTCCATCTTCAGGGTTGAATAATAAGTCAAGTAAGAAATCAGCGTGAAATAACTGACAAACAGAGCTCTGCTACTTATTCTTCGATGCTGAATATGGAGATGACATGTTCCTCCGAAACGTCGGTTACTTTCAATGGGCCGCACCGTGTTGTATGCCGGAAGAAAGAAGTCGTCATAACCACAACTCTGAGAAGTTCAAATTCTGCATGTGTAGCTGTAAGTACTACGTTATTATGTGTGTGAGTCTGTACGTTACATGAATCGAATGGCACTGTCGTCGAACTGCGCCGGCGCATGACTGGAACGTGGTGTCATTCTCTGGAAACGGATTATATGCCACTAACGACAGCTCTTATACAGCTCATAACGTTAATCACTGATTTTG